ATCCTACCTTTTGACTAGGGACCTCAAAGTGGGTGTACAATTTATACCACGTAAGTGATATAACAGGAAGCACATGCTCAAAAAACAAAACGGAAGAACACAAGCAGCTCCACTTGAATGGGAAGCAACATCCTGAAATTCCTTCTCACAGGGCAACTGATATCATCCTGACTTGCGGGCAGCGGAGAGGGGAGGTAAACCAACAGGAGCATGCCCTGATGCTCCGTGTCTACTCCTGTCTCCCTCCCACTTTCTTCCTTGACCCAGTGAAACAATTCAGGATAAGTAAACCTGGGGTTTCTTTTCCCATGGGCTGCCAATGTATCCCCTCCTGCATCTGGCAATAAATACTTGTGCTTAAAGGTTTCAACATTACGGCCTCAACAACTTCTAAATAAGATTGATTACTATGCCCTGTGCCCTTGGAAAAGTTTCCGGAGTAAGAAAATAATCCAAAAGGAGTAGGGAGAATCGTTCAGGGAAGCAGCCCAGAGATAATATTAGTATAGGACAGAGTGCCTCACATTAACATCATTCCCAGCATTTTCATCTGCTCAGAAAGTTTTGAAAATGTTTTATCAAGTGGTGGCAGCTGGCGAGGACTCTACTGAGATTGGAGATAGAGGCTGCCACCCCTTTCTCCCAGTCCACCCAGCTACAAGAAGACCTGAAGAGGGCCACTTCCACTAGTAGTTTCTTCCACTAGTAGCAGATGCTACGTTCTTTTCATGTTCATGAAATATAATATATAGTTTGTCATTTCTTCACAGTTACTCAGTACCCTTATTTTTTGGCCAGCCTGCTATGTTGTTTGTGTCTCCCTTCGAGAAATTGCCAGCATGAAAAACAGTACAGTATTTGGTTGATGGCACGCCAAACAAATTAGTCTCTTGGCATTTGTCTCTCATGTTGGAAGTCCTTTATGTGAGAAGAAATTCAACAATGTTGTACCCACCAACATCTTTTTAGAATTGACTTCCATGTTCCTTCAAACGTCAGATAGAATATTAATCAAATCATCAAGCATATGGATGTTTCACCGGAGACCAAGGCCAAGATCATCCATGTTGTTGTATCCCTGATCACTGTGTGTGTGTGAAAGCTGGTCAGAAAGAAAATTGGTGCATTTAAAATAGGATGCTGGAGGAGAACTTTGCAAATACTCTGGACCCATACAAAGATCAGTAAGTGGGTCCTAACAGTCCCCCAGCACCACCTTCCTAAGCTGCCCCTCCGGAAGAGACCAGAACCACTTTGAGACCATGTCTCCTCAGCATAGTCCAGAAGGTTGATGATATCAGAAGCCATTGAGCAGCCCAGAAGAACCAACAGGGTTGCTCTATTCCCCAGTGTGTCATCAGCCAGGGTGAGCAGAGCTATTTCTGTCTCAGAACCAGCCCATCTGGAAGAGAGCTAATAATTAACATCATCAGCACTGCTTGGAGTTGTGCAGGCACCACATGCTCCAGCACCTTACTAAACAATGGCAAAATTGATACTGGACAGTAGTTAACCAAAATCATAGGATTTAGATTTGGTTTCTTAAACCAGGCCCTCAGTATTGTGTTTTTCAAAGCTATGTCCTCACTATCCTTCAAAGAGTCATTAATCATGTCAGAGATTAATCTACTCAGCCCAGCTCTTGCAGATTTCCCAAGCCAGAATGGGCAAGGTTCTAAAGAGCACGATGTTGTAATCTCTATTGGTGAAAGGGCATTATCATTTGGGGCCATTTGGAGTACAGATTCCCTGGACCTATGCCTGGTGGTCCAGTTTCTGCAACATCATCTCTGGGCACCCTAGTTCTTGATCTTTATTACTGGCTATTCTTGCTTGGTGTCTCAAGGCAGGGATAGCTATTAGGTTTTTAAGCACATGAATCTTAAAAATGTGTTCAAGTCTATAGGAAGATTCCAGAATGGGCAGTTTTGCAAGGTGCCTCCTTTATTTGCAAAGTGCCCTTTCTCCATGGTTTGCCTTTACTGATTTTCCTCTTATGAATTCCAAAGCTGAGCAACATGGGGCCAGATTTGAGTTCTGTTCTTATACTGTTCTGGTACACCACAACTGAGTGCTGAGTTATATCACAATCTAAGTTCTGCCAAGACAATGTGCGTCGGGGGGAAGTTGCTACTAAAGGAACATTTTTACATCCCTTAGCCCTGCAATGAGGTCAATGGGAGAGAATTTTCTTGTGCCAGAACTGGAGCTGGTGTGATGTTCTGCAGTGGACTGGGTTGAGAGTTTAGACTGAAAAGGAAAGAGATGTGGTGTGTGTTCCTCCCTTGTGATGCCCACATTCCATTCATACTTCCATTCTGTTTCAACTGTCTTGTTGCTGTATCTTTGTGCAACAGTTCCAGTGTTGGCATATTCCACTAATGTATCTGAGACAGTCCACTGGTGTACTTGTTGTGGTGGTAACATATCTGGCACAGGAGAGCCTCCACCAAATCATGTAGTCCATCAGTCAGCATCTCAAGTATAGCATTATGTCCTTGGATTCTGAAATTTTGAAGGAGATCTTTTGAGTTTGTAATGTACAAAACCCAAACAACTCAGGACTAAAATAAAAACAAAGGTTTATTACTTCAATATTTTCCATTCCATATGGAAATGGAAATGAATTTTGAAACATCAGACTCTCATGTGGGATGAGGATTCCATTTCTGGCTGTACTCTAGCACAGACATGCTCAGGAGACTTGCATTGTTCAGAGAGGTTCCAGATGTGGAAGAAGCCCTGAAGAAATGAAGTATTCAACAATAGTAGAGGCTCATTCAGGAGAAATGTTGGAGAGAGGCTGCCCTGCCTAAGTGCTATGAATTCATCATATGTTCACAACTCCTTCCTAAATTGTACTTTAGTTCTGATTTCTGCCCAGATAAACAAAAAGTGTGTTCCTCCACATTGCCAGATCTATAATAAATGCAGGTCTTCCTGTATGGAAAAACATGTTTGCAAGTGTCTGGATTTTTTGCTGTAAACATTCAGTTCTATTTTATTGGTCAATCCAGCATATATACTCTTTTAATATTATGTTTTTATATATTATAAATCATTACTGCGGAGCATTCTGCATTCCCATATGGAAAGCACAGAGGGGACTACTACTTATCAAGGAGTGATCCAAATTGCTGTTAAAAAACAAAAAGCTTTCCTACCTGAGTCATTTATTATGCACTTGTCATTGTCAACTCATAGTTGTTTACTGGTTCTTTAGTCAAGCTTGTGACCTTCCAGTTTTGCTTTTGTTTTCAACCAGCATTTTGATAAGCTTTTCTTAGAGCAGTGAAAATGTAGTATTATTAACATAACAAAGCAACATTAAATGCTTTTTTCTCCTGTCTATTTGTACTTTTTGCTGCGCCACAGAGCTGTATAGTGGTTATGTAGGATAAAAACAGGAAAAAGCTCTTAGTACAGTCTTTCAATCTCATTTCTGCAACAAAACCTGAAGTAGATACAGTGGATTAACTGCCTTGTGTAGAAAAGCTGCAACTAGTTCTATTAAAGCGTGAAAATGACATCTTAAAGCATTAAACACGAAGCATGAAAAATGACAGAACTGTCCTCCAGAATGTGAGGTTGTCTCTCCAAAGGAGATACCTGAACATACATTTCATTGTGCAACATCTCATGTCAAAATCAAGTGGATTCCAAATTACTTTTCGCACTTTTGCCTTTTCCACCATTATGCAGTCTCTCATAATGTAGTCAGAGAGCTGAAATAGTTCAGCTTCAAGCCAGCTTCATCTCCATGGCTTTGCTTCAGTAGTACTCCTTCCACAGTAAGCTTCCAGCTCTTTTAGGAAAGCTAGTCATGTGCCCCTACTGAGTCTGATTCTCAGTAGATCATGGGGTGGCCCCCCAAAAGGCTTTTATTGTGAAGTTGCACTGACTCAGGATCTTAGAGGAAGTCCAGATATTATTTTTAATTTGTAGCCCTCCTATGCTTTCCCATTGATTATTCTGTCCTTTTTCATACCAGAAAAAAAATCCATAAAGGAAATGATGGAAGAGTTGCACAATACATTTGACTGTTAGTCTTTGGACTGCCTTCTTTCTGGAAGCCCTTCATGAAGAAACTGTCTTACTCCAAAAATACGAATTCAACATAAGATTAGGGCTGATGAATAGCGGTAAGATCAGCTTCCATGTATATTTTGGAAAACCGTTGTTTGTGGATAGCACAGGTAGATAGGGACAACTTTATTTCCAGTGGCTCACCTGACCAAATATTTACAGTGCAATCCTATACATGCATATACAAAAGTAAATCCCAGTATATTTAATAAGAATTATTACCTAATGGGTTTAGGCTATGGCCCTAATATATTTGTCGCTGGGGACTGCACAGCTCACATTTCAGTATTTGCTCAAACTTATACTATGCTTAGCGATACTTCCAGGTAAATACTGACTCCCAAATAAGTATGACTGGAACTGCAGCCTAAATCGCTACTAAGCTCTTGTTCTTAAGTATATAATATGCCATTATCACTGTTTTAATTAAATCTTTCAAATTAAATCTTTTAAACAGGGATTCCCCAAACCAGCATCCTCAGTCAATCAGGTTGGGAATTGTAGGTGGGAATGGCTGAAGGCTGAAGAAGCCTCAATAAAAGCCTCGCGGTCGTTGACCTGTCACTTTGGGGTGATCGGTTTCCAAGTCACCTGTCACGTTCAAATCCTGGCCGCCCCTTTCCTACGCAGAAGAGAAACGGTTTACAGACAAGCCACCGCGCTCCCGAGCAACCTCCTCGCCCACCCTTGGAAATGGGGCCGCAGTCTTCATACACAAAAGCCCAGGGCAATACGGGCATCGATATTTCTGCGCTCGGCTGCCTGTCCCTGCTCTGCGGGAATCGATCGCTCGGCGCTCTGTCAGCGGCTTCTTTTCCCTGCAAGTAATAGAGCGAGGGTCGATTGTTCGGCACTCTTCTTTAGGGCTGCTCATCGATTCGCTCCAGAAGTAACCGCGCTGGTGTCTTGGCACGTTTTGTCGGCGGCGCAGGCGCGGAAGCGTCCCAGTGAGGAGCGGTGGTCTTTGCGATTGGTTGCTCGTCACGCTGTGAGAAGGAGTAGCCGGCACGCGTTGGGCTTCAGGTAAGAAAGGGCGTGGGGGTGTGGTGGGAGGTGATCTTGCAGGTTGCTGCTGAGTAGAGATGGACTCGGTTGCCTTCAGATTGCTGGCGTCGTAAGCGGTATTACTTTGCTAGGGGATCTCAAAACACTGCCTTGCTTGTTTTTGGAGCAGAGACTGGAATCCCTGGCATTAGGAGTCTTTCAATGCCAGGGTACCGTTCATGGTACACGTTTGGTGTGCTTGCCTGCATTTGTAGTCCTCCACAGTTCTTGGACATAAGGCAACTAGAAACACCGTTTTAAAAAATCAGTAATTAAAGAGCTGCTGAGCATATGAAGAGTGCCTTTCACCACTGATTTAGCTTAGCCTGTTGCTGTCACATCAGGCCTGAACTTTGCCCTTTCTGTCATCCCTTCACCGTGTCCCTCCCAAATTAACTTGTGTTTCAAATACGAGTGTACAAGAGCAACTTTTGGCAACAGCATAACCTGGTTGGGGGTGAGCTGAGTATCCCATACCAGCTTCAGTAAATAAGAGATGTGTTGTTGTTTGGGATGGTTGTGCACCAAGGCGGTGTAGAAACCAATTGATGGATTCAGAGGCAATTGCTTCTGACTGCTCTGACTCTTGATGTAGGGGAGACATTAGCTCTGCACTTTTTCAAGAGTGAATGCAGTACATTGCCCTTTTCTGGATTGTCTTGCCTCTTTCTAGATCTTTGCCATGGAGTTCCAAGCAGTGGTGATGGCGGTTGGTGGTGGATCTCGCATGATGGATCTGACATCAAGCATCCCCAAAGCTCTTCTTCCTATTTGCAATAAACCTTTAATATGGTACCCACTCAACCTGCTGGAACAAGTTGGTTTTGAAGGTAAGCAACAAATACTGTAGAATTCTTACAGTACAATGACTTGCAATGTGGGAAAATGACACTAAAAGGAACAGGGAGATTGCATTAGGACTGCATTTTTGTGGGCCAAGAAGAACAACAAATTGAGTGAATCTGAATGGAAACCCACTCAATCCAAAAAGTCATGCTTGTCTTAATAGGTTTTCAAACAGCCTGCCTAACTTGCTGCCCTTTGAACTACAACACTTTGGATTTCATTGGTCATGCTGGCTGGGGCAAAAGTGTTTCAAAATTCAAAACACCTGGAAGCTCCATGTTGGGGAGAGCTTGTGATTTGGTTATATATAATGGCATTATATGTTTATATGCAAGTTATGTATATTGTCTTCTTCCTTTTCTTTTGAAAATTTGACATGAAATCAAGAAAATAGTGCACACTGGCAGCATTCTCAGTTTTAAAAGGTGTTGTACCAAATTCCCATTTTTTCATTTGGAAGCTATTTTAAAGAACCCACCCACACTTTTGAAGTTCGTGGGTAGACAGCTTTTGAGAAGAAAACTAAGAAAAAAAGGATATATACACATTTCCTTGGATTTCTTCCATATTTATGTAGGAAGATGATACTGATCTCTTTCTCACTAGGGCAGACTAGGAAATGTGTGGCCCAGATGTTTTTGGACTTAAACTCTCACCAGCTCCAACCAGCATGGCCAATAGTCAGGAGTGTTGGAAATTATAGGCCAAATATCTGGAGAAGGCTGATAGCAGATTGGGGAAGGCTGACATAGTTTATGGAATTATTGCTTTGAAGAATTTGCCAGTATCCTGGAAGCATGTCACCCTACTAATCCATTTTTCACCAAGACTTGGGTAGCTGCAATAATGATACCAAGCCAATTAGTCTAAAGTAGTTTAATTGCTTTGTATGCAGCATGTACAATGTCCCCTTTTCTAAGTACTTGGTCCTGAAACTTGCAGTTTATAGCTTGGTGTGCCTCTTGTCTGATGACTTACTTCAGCAGTCCCCAATGTTTTTGGGCTAATGGATACATTTGGAAACTTGAGAAACCCCTGTGGGCAGCAACACATATTGCTTAATCAGTGGCTCACCATCTACCTTTTGCATCTCTGAATTTTAGAGTGCATCTTACTTGGCAAAAACTTTGTTTCATGCCTCTTGGTCACCACAGCCTCTCTTTAATAAGGATTGTTTGTCCAGTTCTGCTAAGTGGTACAATACAGCTAATGCTTCTTTTAACCATATGTTTTGGCATTATCCTGTACTGCCTCTTTTGGGAAAGTTTACATAACTAAAAGCAGCTGCAATGTGGCTTACTTCTGAGTAGAAAAGCATGAAGTTGAGCTATATTATGTATGCTTCATGGGAAAATGTCTTAATTAGGAAGAATTGTATGTGTGTATGTATACATATGTATGGCCCCTCATCCTGCAGTGTACTCCAGCTGTAGCCCTCAGGGCCAAAAAGGTTGTGCACCCCCACTGTTTATAATCACAGGACATCTCTATGGCAGCTTTGTGTGTGACCCTGTCCCTGCAATAGTTCGTTGGATGCAAAAGGCAATTCATATTTGCAAATGACTGGGCCAGCTGTGTCAAAACATGCTTAGGATTTTGCTTCTCTCACTGTTGAATCAGCTCATCAGGTTGCTTTCTACTTATTGGCAACTAGCTCCTTTGAGTGATGATTATATATCACTTCAAATGTTTTGTATTTTCATTTGGTAAATGGAAGAGAAATATATTGCCTACAAAAAGACAAATAGTTACTGCAACCTTCATTGCTAGAAGTCCTAATTCTTATGAGATGAATTATTTGTTATTTACATTATTTGCCTTCTCCCTTTGGAACAGGGGTTTCCCAATGAAGGGAACATGTTAGTCATATAAGACCCTTATGAAATAGGTCAGTGTGAAGGCCAGTTCATGTAAATTTATTTAATTTGCAGAATGGCATACTGGTTTTCCACTGTAAAATGGTTCTCAGTAATAAAATTATACAGGTTGCCCTTGCAGGAATCGATTCAAAATACCTGATACAGTACATGGTGCTAAACAGTAATATCATTTGGTTCCTGGCCCTGCTCCCCAGAGAGGTACCAAAGGGAAGCAGTGGGGGACAGATATTCTTCGGAGTCTTCTCTATAGTCCATCAGGCATTCCAGTTACCCCCGAGATGCTATGTATGTGCAGGTGAAGTAATGCATACATTCCTTTTTTGCAAGTGCGTGTATTTCGTAGGTACACTTGCCAGCAGCTGGTACTGGCTGTGGCTCTCCAGTGGGATTTGCTGCCACAAAATGTTTAAAGTGGCCCTGAAAATTGGTGGTTTGCCCAAATTGGGGGCTTCATGGCCTAGTGAGTGATTGGAATCCAGGTTTCCAAACTTAGCATTCTGGGTGCTCTTCAGAGTATTACATTGTGGAGGTCTTATGTGCTTTTAAAACCATGTTTTTCTGTACACGTATTAAGATCTGACTGTCTAGTTAATTTCATAGACCATCACATTGAGCAAAGGTGTCCATATACTTCTGTACTTTTTCCATTGTTGGTATCTCCAGTCTTATATTTTGATTATGAGCTCCTTTGGGGAAAGAGTTACATATCAGGTTTTAATGCTGGGATGTAGAATGTGCAACCTTCCAGATGTTGGTAGACTGCAAGTTCTATCATCTCACACCATGAGGCTATGCTGGGTCGAGCTGAGGGGAGTTACGGTACACCAACCTTTGGTGGGTACCACTGTCCCCTCTCTGCACTAAAATTACAGTTTTAAATACAGTGTTATAAAATATGTATCTGTAAGAAATATTATCTGTTTGCAGCTTACATTTTTCAATATTTTATATTTTGTTTGTTTGGTTCATTTTATATTGCCCCTAATAGCCAAGGCTCATATAAATCAAGAAGAAGTTCATATTGTAGCTTTGCCAGCATTCCCCATTTAATGAGAACTCTGCAGCATTCCAGAATTTGATCAAATTACCAAATCATTTGCAAGAGTTCTTTGGAAGCTTTGAGAGCTTTAAGGGATGTTTGTTCAGTTCACCAGAGAAGCAGAACGAAGTATAATTTTTGTACACACCTTTTTTTCTGCACTTTAGAGGTCATTGTGGTTACAACAAAAGATGTTCAGAAAGTGCTGAATTTGGAGACAAAACTGAAGCTGGATATTGTCTGCATTGCTGATGATGCAGATATGGGAACTGCAGACTCATTACGGCATATTCATGAAAAAATAAAGGTATTACTGTCTTTTTATTACTTTACAAAGCTTCATTGTCAGAATATTTTGATTGTAATAAATTCAGGTAATGGACATATGTGTAGCAGGAAGCATGAATAACACAATTAACATTCATAAGTAATCAGTGGAGGAAATGTAGTAATTAAGAAAACTTCATGTAAGAAATGGAAAGAACATAAAGCTTTAAAAAAAATCTAGAAGACAGTATTAATGGCTCCAGACTGTAGACTTCCAATTTCTGATAAATAGCTTTTCTCTAACTTGAAGGTTATGCACGTCTTCATTATCTTGCACTTAAGAATTTTTTCTTCTGATAATAAATTTCATGTTAGTTCCAGACAGAATCTTTAAGAAATGTATAAACAAGTACACGTGTCTTCCCTCAGAGGGAGCGGGATGTCAATAAATAAATAAATATTAAATATTTATTCCAGTAGGTTTTATTTTTAAAAAAACAGGTTATTCTCAAATCTAGTGATATAAGAAGTCTCCTCTAAGTGGCATTCAGTGCAGTCATATATATGGAAGTAAGCATAATTGAATTTAAAGGAACTTCCTGCCCAAATAAGTTAGTATAGCGTTGCAGCCTTAATCCTTCCAAACCATTTGAAGAAAAAGTTTAGATTCTTTAGATTTGTTCTTTTTCTATGTTTTAAGGTGCCAGTAAAACCACACTGGAATTTTCTTTCCAGTTCATGCAAGGCCTGTAAATCAAACTTCATCAAACTGTTTTATGCTTCTACTTCATCATGAAAAATGTTTTGTTTTAGTTACTTAATTAGCTCAATAAGGGTCTTGGTCATTTAAAACCCAAGGTCTTCTCAGAATATACATAATCTGTTTGCCCATTGTTTCTACAAACTAAATCTCTGTGATTTCTTATTGGGGTGTTTAGCAAGCCTGGCTAAAGGTAAATTGAGTTCCTTTCCCATTAATTAACAATAGACCCTATTGTCTGAAATGTTCTTCTGTGTAAGCAATTTTTGAGACGAGCAAAAATCATATATGTCTGGTGCTAGTTCAGATCTATATTGCCTCAGCTGCTATTAATGGTTCCCCAAACCAACAACTCAAGGTAGATGTTGACTTTTTCCTCATCACGATCTGCCCTTTCTTCTTTAGCTATGTATCAGCCTTCCCAAACTGAATTTTCAGTTAGAATCTGTTTCAAGCAGACATGCAAACAATGGGATTTTTGTTGGACTCAAGACATTGGAGTTCATGCCAGAATGAGCGACCTATAAAATTGATTGTTTTGTTTGTTGGTGTGTTCCTGACATTCTAAAATGCAAGGCTTCCTAGTCACTGGCTTATTAAATGACATTTATGGCCAGCATAAAGGTGCATGCAGCCTAAATAGCTCATCCCTTTGCACAAGCAGATAACTATACTGGCTGTTTTAACCCTAACCCAGCCAAGGCACCTCACTTTAGAATGCTTAGGGTGAAACAAACCTACATGTGTCAAGGATGATCTACAGTTTACTGAATGCAGTGATGAAATATGACTCATAGAATAATAGAAGAGGCCATGAAGGGCATCAGGTCCAAACACCTTCCTGTGTTGTCCAGTTTCTTTTTGAACATCTCCAGTGTGGGAGAATCCACCACCTCTCTAGGAAGCTGTTCCGTTGTTGTATTGCTCTGACTGTGAGGAAACTTTTCCTGATGTCTAGCCTGAATATAATGCAGAATATAAACAAGTCAAAATCAGTTTATGTTCTCTTTGTGGCCCTGAAAGGCTAGGGGAAGCTCTATGGGGCTCCTAAGTTGCCTGTGTGGGTGATATGTTGATGCCTTTCCCCAAACTAAGGACAAAAAATAATGCCTCTTGCCATAGTGGCAGAATTTGTCAGGATGCATGTAGGTTATAGCTCACTGCCTTCAAGCAGGCTCAGGTGAGGCTGCTTAAGTAAGGCAAACAGTTTCATTCTCACAGGAAAAGCAGCCCTTCTCTATGGAGTGATTTGGGAAGACAGCTTCAAGGTAACTGCCTGGTACTCTTCCTATTAAGGTGAAGGCCTTAAAGCTTCGCCATGGCTTCAAGAAATTATTCTGGCTTTTGGACACTAGAAAGGTTCACCACACTACTTGTTGAACCTTAGTAACCTGGTTACCATTCTGCTGGTAGAGCCTATCTAGTATGCTAGGAACCTGTCATTAATCCTAGCTTCTTATTGCCAGACAAACTAGAGACTATAGTTAATTGTTTCCAAATTTTACCTATTTGCATAGAGGCAGCAATAAAATAGAAACATTTAACTATATGCACTAGTACACTGCTCATCCATATCACAGTTTATGAAGCCAGAATTAATTATTTACCATGATATGCAAATACAGGCAGTATTTTTAAAATCCTAATTAAAAGCCAAACTCTTAAAGAATTAAAATTCTCTCTAAATTAAAATGGCAAAAGATAAAGCGTTCTCCCTTCACTTAGTTAAAATATAGATCGTCCAATTATTAATTCATAAATAACAATCTGGTTGTATTATACATGATTCTTGTTTCAGAGCTGACCAAACTTTTATTTCTACACTTTCTTCTCCTTATTAATCTCTGTTGATGTGACTTCGAATTTCAGAACTGGGATTGCTCTAATGCCTTTATGATAGGATTTATCAGTGCTAGTAAGTTTTGGGATGTTTTCCCTCATATACATTCAGATATCTGTTGTTATTGTGGAATTTGCAAAGATGGATAAACATGACGTTGATTACAAGGTACATATATTTATATACACAATGTGTTTTATTACCACAATTTTAACTTGTTCAAGAAGATCACATTTATTCTAGGTTCTCTTTCTCCCCCTTTAATTTACAAGTTTAGTTTTCTGTTCATGAACCAACTGGCCTTGTATCTAGCTAGAAAACTGTTCATAGTTGTTATTAGGACATTGGGTGTGAGCCAGTCTTCCTATCAGTAGAATTATGTTGATGGGATTCTCTGCTGGAGGTAAGGGAAGGCTGTTTTCACAGATTGCTTTTTCCACTGCAACTCTCAGCGCTACTCCCTATTCTGTTCCAGAGAGTCACGCAGAAGGACATGCCTGAATCCATCTCTGTAATTTTTAGGGGAATAAGTCATGTTATTAAGGGAATGATGCCATGCTGTCATAGATGTGAACTAGCATTATCAAATGCAACCAATACAGTAAGCTAAATGAGTTGATGTTTGGTGGAAGATGGAAGCTGCTCTTTTTCAGATGGTCCAGTTATGTGTGAACGACACTTTATTTAGATGGTATTCAGGTGGGGTGGTCTTACATGGGTACTGGACATTTCAGGCTCCATAAGATGATAACGGAAGCAATAATTCTGGGGCTGTCCAAATATGTTGTCTGAATGCTTTGCTAAATCATTGCTGTGTTCTTGATAATTTCTAACCTGGCTTAGGATAGGCATAGTGAAATTGAAGGAGGATGCTTTTAAAGAGAAAAAGGAAGATGAAATGCCCAGAAGTGTTGTAAGGCTTTTTGCTATTAAGATTATCATGGCAGCTTCTCACATGTCATCAAACTCTGGCTATATTTAAAGGAGCACCTGAACAAATTACAAAATTTGAAGGCACTGCAAAAGGATTGTAAAATTAATGCCAAACTATTCAAGTGGTTCAAGTAATTGTATGCATACACATCTTGAGTGTGTACATTTGTCCTACATCCATTTAAGAAGCATAACTTGTAGTTCTTGTCCTGTTAACTTTTTCTCTGTTACTGGTGTTTGAGAAGGCAGGTGGAAATATCTCTAGGGACCATAAGAAGGGATTGAAAGCTGTGCTGAATACTGGCTGTTGAAGTCCTATCTTTCTGTGTTTTCACTCTTGCAAAAAGTTGTTTACATATGGAAATCTTTTTCCATCTCTAATCTGGGGGACTTCTGTTTTCTTCTTATGAGGGAACTCACAAACCTGTTGAAACCATCATATTGTACATTGCAGGATCTCTTCCACATGTTGCAGTGAAGTTTCCTAGACCCCCTCTGTATTTCACTATCTAATTGCAAAATGCTTCATACCTCCTATTCTTTATGGCCTCTGAAAAGAATGCAAAGGTACATAATTGTCAAGTATTTGATAGAGTGCAATTAGGGTGGAGAGAAGCTGACATGAGGAAACTAAATAAATGATTGATGCTTTTTAGTATATTGGCATTCTTGTTCCAGCCATTGCCAAGGCAGGAAAGAAGTGTATATGTTACGATGAAACTTCTTTTCATCACAAATTAATTATCTAGACACAGAAGAATAAATCTATTTCACAATAAAGTATGAGGTTAACCCTTTTCTGTTTGAAACAGTTCTTCACTCAGCAGTAAATGAAACACGGATGATGCTAATAATGTGAAATGTTATAATTAAAAATCATTTCTATGTGCATGGTGTTCTTGATGATAGAATCTCACCAAGATATAAGAAAATGCTAGATCACCTTAGATCATGAAATGATCTAATGGTTCATCTGATATACTAGCTACAGGGTATTAAATTCATTGTCATAGCCAATTACTTTGGTGTAGCAGAAACTTTTATTGGCTCAGCTGTCATGGACAGAACTGGTTTTATAAAATGGAAGAATTAAGATTTTTCTTCTCAGTATAGTTATGTTCTCCTGTACTGGGGTGGAAAGCTTGTGTGTTTGGGGCTCATTTCATGTTTTGTTTCCTGGCAAGAAAAAGCATGTGGGCCTGGGCAGAAACTCAGTCAGTTTTCTGAGGTGGGGGAGAAGTTCTTCCAATAATGTGAAAAGACTAAGTTGATCCTCTTGTGAGGAAAGTTTGCAGCATCTGGAATTGCTTAGCTTAGGAAAATGATAAGGGAAAACGCTCTCTCTTGGATGCACACCTTAGCATGGTAAGGGTGTTTGGGAGTGTCATAGAATCCAAGAGTAATGGCACCAGGAGGACGGCCTCTCTCACTAGGCTGGTTTTGTAGCGGGGTCACCCAAGGCAGAATTGTCAAAGCTGGGACAACAGACTAAGATGCATCCACCCTC